CTCTCTCTCTCTCTCTCTCTCTCTCTCTCTCTCTCTCTCTGTCACACACACATACACACACACTTTTATCTTGTTTTGTGTCTTTTGTCTGGTGGGTTGCCAAGAAACAGTTTGCTTTTGCCAGAGATAATTGATTGCTTGCAGAAGATTTTTGAATCTACAGTCTGAAATTTATTATAGAGGCTCAAAGGTATGAGAAAGGCACAGCATGATGTGAAGTTATGTTATTGAGGGATTATGTTTAAGAACTTGTATTGAGACCAATTTTGTTGCTTTATGATCAGCTTAGGCTTCAGGATAACTCGGAATTGATCCAACGAACTGAAATCTTAAGTCTGGTAAAATGCAATATGAAGCAGTTCAAGTAATTGTTAGAAAACATACAGTATATGGTTACAATATTTGAAACTGAGAAATTTAATTCTAGCAAACAGTCAATACTTGTTTTTTTAGGGGAAAGGATGAGTGTGTTAATCTGTTCATTGAACATGGTTCTATTAATTAGCGCTGGAATACTTGAATACTGCTCCAGGATGACTGTTAATGGGTTGTATCCTGTGTTGCCATTTTTAACTTATTTTTTTCCGGAAGGTACCATTTGAACTATTACATGTTTTAAGGATCTGGGAGTGTACTTTAATCTAGGTCTGTGATGGCAAACCTATGGCATGTGTGCCACAAGTGGCATGCGGAGCCATATTTTCCGGCATGTAAGCCGTCAGCTCCAGCACGCATATGCGTGCTGACCAGCTGATTTTTGGGCTTCTGGAGGGCCGGGGGAGGCCATTTTTGCCCTCCCCAGGCTTCAGGAAAGCCTCCAGAGCCTGGGGAGGGCAAAAACTCTTCCCCCCTGCATGCATGTATATGAGGGTCATGCGTGCATGTGTGGGTGAGCGGGGTACATTGCATTGTGGGTGTGGGCACCTGCGCGCTTTCGCACACATGCACACAATTTTGGCACGCTGATTACAAAAATCGCCATTACTGATCTAGGTTCTAAGATTCAGGAAGTGTTATACTCTTTTTCATGAAGTTTATAACATTTGGGAATTAGACATCTTTATTCTCCCATGTAGAAAAAGCTTTGAGGTTAAAGTAATCAGTCATTGCCTCCGAGTGCCGTTTTGGGAGACAACCATGGAAGAAGCATTAATATGGTTGGAAAATTCATTTCTATAGTGTACAGTTGGTTTCTAAAGAGGTGACACAGCTGTGTAGTTAGAAGAGAAACAGGTTGCTCTCCATTTGCCTGTTATATCAGAAAAGATTTAATAAATGATTGAAGTTAAGTAGAGTAGCTATTTCTTCAGCATTGGGCCTTATGTATAAGAAATCATACATTTCTTCAATATGATTTGTGATCATGTTGGCAAAATAGCCTGGAAGAATTCTCCTCACCCTAAGAATTTTTATTTATAAGTGGCAAAGGTTTGGGTAAAGTTTATTGTTTCTCTGTTTCCCTGAAAATAAGACCTCCCCGGATAAGAAGCCCAATCGGACTTTTGAGCGCATGCGCTAAAATAAGCCTCCCTCAAAAAGAATCCCTCCCCGAAAATATTGCAACACAGCAGCAACTATGAGGTGATCACACCTGCTGCCTCCTGCATCTCAAAAACAATAAGACTTCCCCAAAAATAAGGCCAAGTGCTTATTTCGGAGGGCAAAATAAGACCCTGTCTTATTTTTGGGGAAACACAGTAGGCAGATTGTGATGATGTTTTACTTCCATGTCATCTAGATTGTGACAGAGATACTGTTGATGCTGATTACTTAATTTAAATTGTGTTTAAAATGTTTAAGGTTATTTAAGAATATTTACATATTAGTAAGTAATATTTTGAGCTTGTCTAAGAATTATCCTAGAAGAGCAGTCATAGACATGTGAATATGACAGGGTGCATTATCTCTTAGATTATCCACTTGGATTCAATTTAAAGAAATCATCTTTATAATGCAAGTAGACAATAAGTTTGTACACGTACTTGGTGTTTGTTTTGATCAAGCAGTCAAACTTGCTTTTCTACTGAAAAGGATGATAAAAAATATTGTTTTAACTAGTATTATCAGTCTTTTGTGATGACTAATCATGATGCCCTACTATTATGCAGTGTATACTGCATGTGTAATGTTTTCCACATTCTTCAGAACAAAACACTGTGAATTCACCCCGTTTTCCTTTATGAGTGGTCATGATGGGTCAGAACTCAAGTAGGCACCTTGCTCTGAATGTAGTTTTCAGTTGACTTTTTAAAATAATCAAGAATCTTGTATCACCTTAAAAGTTCACAGATTGATTGTAGGTTTCATGAACGGTGATTAATTTCACTAGATGCAGGAGTACTTTGAGAGAGTTGTGCATCTATGGAAGGAAATAAAATATCTGGATATGAAAGGTATTGCAGGCCAATCCAAGTGAAATAAGCATCCCTTCTGTCCACAAAGCTTATATCTAAATTTACATTTGGCAGATAAAATTGCTGGCACAGATCTTCATGCTGAGTGTGCAATACTGTATGGGAAGCTAGAAGAACATGAAAAAGCTCTACAGATTCTGGTCCATGAACTGAAGGACTTCTCGGCCGCTGAGGACTATTGCCTATGGAATTCCGAGAGCAAAGGCCTTCCCTACAGACGGAAGCTTTTCCATCTACTGCTCTCAACATATCTCAATTCCAGCACATCCAACCATGAACTGAATGTGGCAGCTGTTGACCTTCTGAACAATCATGCAGCTGAATTTGATGCTGCATGGGTTTTGCAGCTAATTCCTGCCAGCTGGTCCATACAGTTTCTCTCCTCCTTTCTGATGGGTGCAATGAGGGAAAGTCTCCATTCACAAAGAATGGCTGAGATTGCACTGAGCTTAGCGAAAGCTGAGAACCTTATTTACAAGCATGAAAAGGTAAGTTTATAGGGTCTAATTAACAGGAGCTTTTGATTGCAAATTTCTCCTTTTTAATTCATTGTAGAACAACATCGTCTAATTTTTGTGGTTTATATGTAGAAGATAACTTAGGATTCCTATCTCTTCTTCCTGTGCTTTATCTGTATTAAAAAGTGTGAGCAGGAGTGGGTGAGTCTACCTTTCTTGAATTTTCTCTGCTTTTCCCTTTCCACCGTAATTAGATTCCAAGCTTTCCAAGGATACAACCAATCCTCAAAGAAGCCTTTTCAGAGTCTCATCTCACTGCCAGGGTGCTGCCAAAGATCTAGTGTGATCATTCCCATTAAGTATTACAATTTCCCTAAAGGAACATTAGAATTGTATCTCGATGAAAGCTGAAAGCCAGTGTAAGAGAATGGTCATTCAACCTCCTCTAGTCAACTTCTTACCTCACCAATAGTGGCTTAGCAAAAACAAAATTGGAAAAACCTTACAGATGTTTTCTCTTCTTCTTGCTGCTTTTAGGTGAAACTAAGAGAAAGCCCAATCCTTCTCTCTGACAAAAAACTCTGCCAGGTGTGCCAGAAACCTTTCTGTGAACCTGCCTTTGTCCGGTATCCCAACGACACTGTTGTCCACATGCACTGTGCTTCAAAGAGACTTGTGAATTCCAACACAAACCATCACTTATCCAGCTCCAGTGGATGGACATGAAATGAGTTGAGTCAGTGGCTGTGCTAGGATTGGATTCCTAGGAGTAACAAAGGAGGATCTGGAGGAAAAAGAACAAGGCAAGAGGAAGGGGCTGGCTTGGCGTAGATGGGAAGGCACAAGCTCAACATGAAACAGAGCCACTGAACTTTTTAAAAAGTGACAGCACAGGAAATCACAGGGGGTTATGTAGAATGAATCTTTTCCTCACAGGAAGGGTGAGTGGTTCAGCATGAAAGAACTTTTTTTAAATTAAAATTTGCACTGAACTTGGTTATCAACTGGTCTTGAAGTGAGAGGGGACAGCGTCACGTTCTGTGCCCTCGATGCGGTTAATATTTGAAGCACTTTTGAGCCTTTGTTCGCCTCCTTTTTCTGCCTTCTATGTTCACCTATTACCAACTGATGGAAGCACTGACATCTTAGTAATTCCTGCTTTAGTTATGAGCAAGGCAGGACAATGCAAAGACCACTTACTATTTCCAACCTTAGGAATAAGTCAAAATGTGGGTGTCTCTCATGCGGGAAGCATATAACATTTGGGATTTGGGTGGGGGGGAGGTCTGGTGGAACAGGCTGTAGTAATTGTAATGACTTATTTATTACCATACAAATGTTCTGTAAATACTGTTGAATGAAAAAGGTTTTTTTATATATATCTCAACATTCTCTAGAACCAAAATAACTAATCAGTGATTTCTGGGTAGCGTTCTTTGTTTTGTTTAAGTGTCTATACCCATCATTACAAAGAGCCATTGTTAAGCTTTCCTGCAAGCAAAGAAACCAGTGCCTCTCCTTTGCAGGAATGACATGAAAACTTTTATTCTAAGGGATAACAAAATGGGAAAAAAATAACAAATCAACAGGTGACTTCACAAGGTGCTGAGTATGCTTGGTAACAGTTAATAAAATACTTCAAGAATTCTGAAAGTGTACCAAATTTTTTGAACCTTGCCAGGTATCTGTAATGTCTGCTACATTTTTAATTGGCTGAATTTATATGCCCATCCAATCAGAACCAACTCTGAACATATATGAAAATAAGTTTAAAAGTACAAAATCAAAAATAGGATGGTGTAAAGTTGCTTTTTCATTTATATTCTCCCTTCTCTTTCTCTCTCATATCCACAAACTTGTATCTGCTTCTCCAATTCGGTCTAATTACCGAATTTAAAGAGGGAAGTACTGTATCTTGGGGTTAGCTGACGAATTACAGATTTAAATTTGTTTTCTTAAAACTTGGAACAGGCTTTTGCTCATATTCTTGGCAGCCCATTTCAATTGGAAAGCAAGGTTGTCTTTTAGCAAGTTTTACTGACAAGAATAAGATAAAGTTCAGAAAGCTCAGCAGATGGAAAGCTTTTCTTTTAGAATCCCATTTTCTCTCTTTTAAGGTGGAGAGTTTGTCACATACTTCACACTTCACCGTGTACACCATGTAGTAAGGAAGTCCATTCTCTTAATAGGGAAGAAAGGAGAATAGCATTCAGGTGGTTAGGATAAGAATTTTTTTCAAGTTCTGAATTTACCGTATTTTTCAGAGTATAAGATACACCTTTTCCCATCAAAGAAGAGGCTGAAAATCTGGGTGTGTCTTATACACTGAATACAGCATTTTTTGCCTCCCAAAACCCCGCCCCCTTCACCAAAATGGGCGTGCAGAGCCTTTAGGAGGCTTTCCAGCCTAGGGGCCTGGAAGGGCAGAAATGAGCAGAAAACAAGCCATTTTTTGCTCACTTTTGCCCCCCGCCACCTCCAGCCCCCAGGAGCACTCTACAAACCTTTTAAGGCAGAAGTTCTCAACCTGTGGGTCGTGACCCCTTTGGGGATCAAATGACATTTTCAGAGGAGTTGCTAAGACCATCGGAACTCTAAACTTTAGACTCCCCCTCGCCTTTCTTGAAATCCCCCGCGGATGGGCTCCGGAGTCATCGCTGGCCACGCAGAGCGTCGCCACAGCTCCACGCCGTGGAAAACATGATGGGACTCTTGCCATTGGTTTAGTGGCCCGTCTTCTTTGCTAGTTCAGGCAGGTGGAGAAAGGAGGCATGCAATAGTCGAGGGTGAAGGTGCTCCCCTTCGCCCTTGGTGGCAGGGGTGCTTTATCACAAGCCTCCTTTCTTCCTCCGCCCGCCTGAGCAAAGAAGGCAGGCCACTAAACCGATGGCAAGAGTCCCACTACCATGCTGGAGTCAGCAAAAGCAGCTCCAGCAACAACGGGACCAATGGGGTGGGAAATCCATGCAGAGGGAGGAAAATGCATGCATTCTCCACCCTCTCCATTGGAAACGAGGCAACTGTCAGAAGAGGGCAGTGCACGCCACATGGGCTTGTGCAGCAGCTGAAGAACAGGAGGTGAGGTGACCACAGTATGTGTGTGTGTGTCTGTGTGTGTGTGTGTGTGTGTGAGAGATAGACAGAGAGAGGCACAGAGAGAGAAATGGGGGAGGGAGGAGAAAGACAGACAGAGAGAGAGGGGGGGAAGGGAGGGAAGAGACAGATACAGAGAGAGAATTGCAGAGGGAGGAAGGGAGGGGAGATACAGAGAGAATTACAGGGAGGAAGGGGAGAGACATACAGAGAATTACAGAGAGAGAGAGACGAAGGGAGGGGAGAGACAGAGAATTGCAGAGAGAGACGGAGGAAGGAAGGGGAGAGACAGGGAGGAACAGAGGGTAGGAACAGAGATACAAAGAGAATTACAGAGAGACGGAGGAAGGGAGGGGAGAGACAGATACAGAGAATTGGAGGGAGGGAGGGAGGGGAGAGACAGAGAAAGGAAGGGAGGGGAGAGACAGATACAGAGAGAATTACAGAGAGACGGAGGAAGAGAGGTGAGCTACAGAGAATTACAGAGAGACAGAGAGGAAGGGAGGAGAGAGAGACAGACAGAATTACAGAGAGAGGAAGGGAGGAGAGAGAG